ATTTTTTTATTTATTTTTTTACATACAATAAATTATTACAATAATTTTTTTATAAAAAATTTAAAAAAATACAATGCAGGCAAGGCCTTAGCATTGCGGTGGAGTTCTGTTTTTTCTTGCTGCTGCATGCTCTTTTGTCTTTCTTTTGTCTTTACGCCGGACCAATACGTTGGTAAGGAGCACAGATCACGTGTAAGGTACGAATACAATTACTGACGTCAAAGCGGTTTAGATCAGGCACATGAGGGGTAAATTTTATCGGGAAACAACTGTTTGGAAGGTGAGTTTTTTGGGTGTTAGTATAAAACTTTACTGTAGATCACTGTAGAAGTTGTAGAAAAAACTTTTGTAAAAATTTGGGTATTTGTAAGATGAAAATTTTTTTCATTTTCATTTTCTTTCTTTCTTTTTCTTTTTTTTTTCTTTTTTTTTTCTTTTCCTTCCTCCCTTTCTTCCCCTTCTCCCTCCCCCTTCCCTCCCCTGATCCCTCTCCCGGTACCTCCATGGCAGCAACCAACAGGTGAGAATCAAATTTTTTTTTTTTTTTTTGCTTTTTTTCTCCTCTCCTCTCCTTCCCCCACCACCCTTCCCTGCCATCCCTTCCTTCCCCCGCCACCCCTTCCCTTCCCCTTCCCTCCCCAGCCACCCCTGCCACCCTCCCCTCCCCCTCTTTTTTTTTTCTTTCTTTTTTTTTTCTTTTCCTTCCTCCCTTTCTTCCCCTTCTCACTCCCCTGATCCCTCTCCCGGTACCTCCATGGCAGCAACCAACAGTGAGAATCAAATTTTTTTTTTTTTTTTGCTTTTTTTCTCCTCTCCTCTCCTTCCCCCACCACCCTTCCCTGCCATCCCTTCCTTCCCCCGCCATCCCTTCCCTTCCCCTTCCCTCCCCAGCCACCCCCGCCACCCTCTCCTCCCCCTCTCCTCCCCTCCCTCGCCACCCTCCCCCTCCTTTAGCTGCGATCTGGTCTTGCGACCAGATCGCAGCCCCCCTCCCTCTCTTCCTTTGCGATCTGGTCACGCGACCAGATCCGTCAAAGGGGGAGGGGGGTGGTGGCGGGGGAGGCAGAGGGAAAGAGGGGAGGGGGGAGAGAGACAGAAAAAAAAAAAAGGAAAAGAGCATCAGAGACCAGTTTGGGCAAAGGGAAACGGGGAGGGGGAGGGTGGCGGAGGAGGCAGAGTCGAAGAGAGGAGGGGGGAGGGGGAGAAAAAAAAAGAAAAAAAAGAGGACCGCCGGAACTGGTAGCCGGAATAGTGACCGGCGCCGGAAGTGGTGGTGGAGATGGTCGCCGGTGCCGGAGGATGTGGTGGGTTGGGTGGGGGAGGAAAAAGAAGAAAAGTTGAAGGGAAAATTTTTTGTATATTTTTAAAGTGTGTAGGTTAAAAACTTTGATAAGTTTTTTGGGTTCTTGTAGCAAAAGTTGTTAAAAAACTAGTTTTATACAAACTTGGTAAAAAACCAAGCTTCCAAACAGGGCCATAGGCTTTTGTAAGACGCAGATTGAATGGACATAAAGATGATTGAGAGGACAGAAACTGCAGAGCTTTTGTTTTGGGAATAATTTCAGAAATCTCCCTGCGATTTCTAACAATTTTACTGAGATTCCTTAAGGTTTAAAAAATTACACTTATCTCCCTTATTTTGATAGTTTTACTAACAAAACTTCAAAACAATATTGACTTGAACAATTTTTTAAATGAACACCCAAAAATACTCTTGTGGAATGAGTTTAATTTATTTTTCTATACAATTATAGGATTATTTAGTATAATTATAAGAAAAAGATATCAAATTTTTCATGTTCATATCTATTATTTAATAAACAACTATAATAATAATTTTATTACTATGATATGACATTTTTAATGGTATTTTATTATGAATTTAGATTTATAAGACTAAAAAGAAAATGTTGAAATAATTCATTTAGAATTTATAAGTTTTTGGAAGAGTGAGATTATCATAATTTAGTAGTGCTTTTGGGTCATTTCCTTTTGATTTATTGTTAATTTTAATACCAAAAAATAGAAAACAAATATTAGCAAAAACATTGGATTACATATAAAATTAACTCGTCAAAAAAAAAATTACTAGCTTGACATTTGGTTATAATAGAAACCTAGAGGCAATAGTGGTAGTTTTACAGTTTTATTGGCGAAAAATTTAAAAAAAAGGAATAAGAAGGAAAAAAATGAAAAAATAATTTTAAAACTCATTCTAAATACAAGCAATATCAAATAAGAGAATTTCATAAAATATTTGAGAATAAAATTATTATTTTAAATAATAAGAGAGATATATATAATTTTTTAAATTTTAGACGAACTCAGTAAAATTGTAAAAAATCTCATGAGAGTTTCGGAAATAATCCGTTTGTTTTGTTATGGTGGGCAGAGTTGGGGAAGTAAAAAGGCAACTTGTTAGTAGTTGACGCAATTAACGAGAACAATTTGAGTTGACGTGCGGCAGAATACCAAGTACAATTGTGTCAGCTTTTTACCTCAAAAATGGTAGAGAGTATTAGAGGAGGGTAGCAACTGTTTCTAAATGTTTATTGTCAAAATTTGGTAAAAAAAAAAAATGTAAGGTCTAGATTAAGGTTGCAAACGAATCGAGCCGCTCACGAGCTCAGAATATAAGTTCGTTAGCTTGCAAGCCGGCTCGCGAGTTTGAGTATATATATATTTTTTATTTTTATTTAATAATAAAATTAAGTATATTATATATATATATTTTTTATTTTTTATTTTCATAGTGAAATTACGGATATATCCTTAGTATTTTATTATTTATTCAGAAAAAAATATTATTTTATTTATTTTTTTAAAAAATAAAATAATTTTTTTTTATTTTTTTCGAGCTCAAGTTCGGTTCGACTTGATTCGAGTCGAGCTCGAGTTCGAAAATTGCCAGTTCGTCGAGCTCGAGCTAGAGCTCGAGCTTGGTAAAATTTAGTCGAGGCTCAGCTCAATTACCTCAAAACTCGACTCGGCTCGGCTCGTTTGCAGCCCTAGTCTAGATTGTATTTTATACATTATTTTTTTATATTATACGTGAAACTTATAAAATTTTATTCTGTAATTATACGTTATTGAAAGTAAGTTACACTTTATGAATACAAAATTATGTTTTATGTATTTTACACAAAATCAACTCGAACGATTTTTCTGATAATTGCTCAGCCCCGTGTCTTGGACTACCAAACGATTTTTCTGATAACTGTTCAGTCCCGTAGTCCAACAGTCCCGTGTCTTGAACTACCAAACGATTTTTCTGATAACTGTTCAGCCCCATGTCTTGGACTATCAAACCATACTGTACACTAATCTTTAAACAATATCCTTGTACTTTATAAGATTGAGTTTTAGTCAAACTCATCTTTGAATTTCAACTGCATTAAGGGTTATGTTTGTATTTTAAAGTAGGTATTGATATGTGGTGAAACTTAGAATACAAATAATGGAAGCATGAAATTTTGTTAACTTGGCAGTATTATCTTGCTTGTGCTTTGAATGTGTGATTATGCATGTGACATTTAATTAATTAGTACACTATTTATGTGTGAAATTACTTTGCCATTTGATATGGCAATTAACACTCAAAGGTTCTACAACTTCGTGGATTTTATGTCATTTTGAATTGGTAATTAAAATTGCAATATCCTGATCATTATGTGAAGTAAAGATATAACGGTTAAGGGAAACTAGAATCTCTCTAATTATCATATAATTACCTCTTAATAACATTATGATAATATGCATTGGTTTTTCTTCCTCTTTTATTTCTTTTTGTTATTGCATAATAGCTGTTGCCTTTGGGTTTTGATAATCGGGCATCTTTTATTCCAGGTATGACTAATTGTTTTCTTTTTTGTGAAAAATCTCCCTCTTTTGGCATGCTTATTGATTTTGATTTTGAGGAAAGATCCCGCTGCATAATCCTGTGATCCTTGGATATTGAGCATAGCATGAATAAAGAAAGAATTTTGTTCAACATACCATTATTTCAAGTTCCTAATGGACTCATCATTATTGTCTCAACCCCCGCTACCTCGGAGCTAATTAATAAACTTCAACTAATCAAAATTCTTTCTTTTTATCCCCCATAACCTACAATCAATTGAATTAATTATTATTTAAGTAACAATTGTTTCTAATTATTTACACATTTATCCATTTGCTTCTTGCTCTTCCATTTTTCCCCAACATTTACGAATGTAGGATCTTTCTTCTTCCTAACCTTAAATTGGGCCAGTTATGTATATTACTCTATAAAACTAAGATCAGTTTCTTGTCTTTTCCAATTTTTTTTCTAAAGTCATATATTTCTTTGTGTTTCTTATAAGGGTGAAAAAGCCAATTTGAAGGAAAGATATAAAGGTAAAATTAATGCAAATTATTATGAAACTTTATGTTGGATGATCATTATCACAATCACGGCCAATTTGTTCCAATTTATCTTCTTTATTTCCGATTTAATTGTATCAAAGTTGTGATAAATTAGAATTTTGCTGATTTAACTACTCCCTTCACTTTAGTACAACCTTCCAACGAGGTATTTTCTGTTCCACCACATTTTCATTTGCTTGCTTTCACAGAATTCTGTGTATGATTGTTTTCCACTAGCAATTTCATTATTCATATGGAATTTTTGAAATATATAGTGAATGTTTGATCATCATTGCAGGGTTAGTAGTGAAAATACTGCATCTGCAAGCAAATATTGGGAAATATCATTAACCACTTTCTACCTGTGGCTTCCAACTCCAATTTATGTGTACAATTTCTTCTCATTTTTGGTTTCGTGATGGGGTTGATCTACCAAATAAGCTCTTTTCACATGAGGGTGTTTTTCTATTGTATTTTACCATTACAATTGAGATGTGCTATCAAAGTAGAAACAAATTTTCACATTTTCTTATAGTGTGAATCTTTCAAGAGAGTGTGAAGTGCATTCTCTTTAGAGTTAAATTGTGACAATATGTCACTTATTCCTTTCAAGAATGCATTATGAAATAGACACCTTGAACTCCCAAAGAAGTTGGGTACTCTCTAGAAGGATTCACTATGGAAAATTTGTTGCTGAGGTAAAATTCAAGGATGCTTCTGAAGAATATTCACCTGCAATTCAAGCCAAGGATAGAGATGCTCTGATGAAGCTTTTGACATTTGAAAGTGTCGAGGAGATGGTGAAGAAGAGGGTGGAGAAGAAAGCAAAGGTGTTTGGGCAAGAAGTGAACCTCACCAACGATGCTGGCAATGGAAAGTGCAAGATCGATCCATCTGTTCTTCCTTGCCTATATGGAGAGTGGGTCATGCCTCTGACCAAACATGTTGAAGTGGAATATCTTCTGCGTCGTCTAGACTGAAACCTTTTGAGACTTCCATGATCCTTTTCAGTTACATGATCTATTATGTGAGAAGGATTCACGGGGTTAAGATCAAATCATGAGTATGTGATTACTTCCGCTGATGTATAATGCAAATTGAAGCTAGTTTTTCATGACTAGCATGCTGAAATCCTTGCCTTTTCTTTTTTCCAGTTACTATTATATGGTACTTATTACAACATAGTTTGCCTGGCAGATAAAATACAGATGACAATTTGCTAAAAAAAAAAAAAAAAAAAAGAACTCCCAAAGAAGTTTTACTCATTTTTGTTTGTCCAATGCAACAAATTTGGTGCTGACATTACCGATTGCTTTAGGAGATGCAAAAGTGCAAAAATTATCCTCAATAAATTCTATGAGCTAGCTCTTAACTTCAAGTTATTAGTTTTCAATGGATTTCCATCAATATGAACTCATAAATTTATTTCCTTCTAAAAATCCTATTTTTGGATCATGTTATGTTCTCTGTTCCTATTGATCAGAACAATTATAAATTCTATGCTCCAATCCACATCAAGCTTGACGAGACCAAAAATATATTAGGCATCAACTTGCTTGGATTTTGGATTCTATGTGGACAAAAAACTTAGGGACTTCCTCAATCATAGTTAAGATAGATTGTCTAATACTTGCAAATTATTTGCGTGATACTTTTGAGCTTTCCATAATATATTTACAAGGTTGACTCTTTCCTTTCGAGTGTCAGGTTTGTCAAAATTGATGTGGATAAGATAAAACTGGCTAAGAACAAAGCTAAAGGTTAAAACTTTTTTAATCTTATAATGAGTTGTAGTATAAGGATGGGAATTATCTATTTGACATAAAAAAAAAGTTTTTGCTGTCATTTGTTATGTTGATGTTAAATAATAAAAAGTAATATATTATAGCTTCAACTTTGGATGTTTTCTTATTATGTTATTTAGTTAGTCTTTTTTGACATTTCCTTCTAGTTTCTTAATTAACGTATGTAGAAGAAATACTATGTGCATTTAGAAATTAACTTTATTTTTATGTAGAGTATAAAATAATTTGTTTATGGGTAATTCTATTTCAACTGATATGATACTTACTTTAAATACATGTTTTTTTTAACAAGTTATAGCAGCAATACATTCTATTTTCTCAATTTTATTGTATTTTGCTTAAAAATTATGTAAAACATTTTAAATAGAGGCACCTAATACCCGCGCGTTGTTCGGGCTTTCATCTTCTAGCATGAGAACATAGAAATGAGCGCAAACAATCGCATCATGAACTTGAGAAAACCATTCGCCTTCAAGTTTGCCTCCAATCTTTCAAGCATCTCATGAGTCATACCAAGCATGTCTTTTCTCTAGAAAATATTTAAACTGCCTGCTAGAAAATATTTGTTTAAAACTGCTGTGCTGATGTCCCGGCCTAATTAAGTTGTGAACCTTTCCATCATGCACACAATGAAGAGAGGGGTCAACCACTGAGCTTCAGTGGCAATAAAAAGGGACTAAATTCCTATTTGGGTGGTAAGTCGGAGATTTGAATCTCGCTTCTTTTGAAAAAATTAAAAAAAGATGATAGAACACTTCTTTAATCTAGTCAGATCTGCATATCTACTAATTTTTTACATAGTCTCTTTAGACTCCCCTTTTCTATAGAATATGATAGATGAGATTATATAAATATTATTATTGTTTAAAAAAAAAAAGAGAGGGGTCACCTGACTTTCCAAAATAAAAAAACCATTGATTTTTTTTAAAAAAATTTTCTCTCCAAGTAGTTCCACTTGACATCAGCTGTCCTCATCCAAGGGGCCCCAAAATAAAAAGAGCAAGCTAAGCAATCGACAAAACAACAGCAATACAAATGTGGAGACCATAATAGTATCATAGTCTCCTGAAATAGAAGATCAAAAATAAAATGTTTTAGGGTATAGAATTTTTTTTTATGACACCGGAGGTATCTGAGTTTTCACCCGACTAATTTTCTTGCAACTTGTGAAAGGGCACCTACATTTACTGAAAACATGATAATTACGGAACTCGAATATTGATCCATATTTTAAAAAATAACTACATGATCGATCAAGCTGCCCCGCAGGAGCTTTAGGGTACAAAAGTATTCGCCAGGCAGTAACTTGTCGGAGCACATTCTTTGACAAAGCCTAACCAAAGCAATCACATAGCAACCAAACACCCACAAAATTTGACCAGAATACTTTCGTAAAATATTTCGTTGAATATTTCGTAAAATATATTTGCAGAGTCTACACAAGTTTCACATGTGATGCAGTACAAATCTCGGGTCTATATAAGCGTGTGCTGGCTGCACTTTGCTACCACAACCAAAATCTCACCCTCAAAATTCCTTTCCTTCTCACAAAGTCTACCAACACTTTTTTTCCTTCCTACAACCCTCACTCCCATTATTCTCTTTCCTTCTCACAATGGTTAACTTGATAGCCTCTCACACTGTCAAGCCAGCAAGGCCAATCTCCACGAAAGTAATGTATTTATCTGAGTGTGATCAATGTAAACCCTTGACTCATGCAACCACCGTCCACTTTTACAAGCCAGAAAATCCAGAATTGCTAAAAGATGCCACTAGGGTTTTGAAAGACTCATTAAGCGAAGCCTTGGCAGCTTTTTATCCTCTTGCTGGACGTTTATACCAGAAAGATGGAGGCCGAGTTGAGCTGCGTTGCAATTCCATGGGTGCTTTACTTCTTGAAGCTCAATCAGAACTCAAAATCGAGGATTTTGGAGACTTTTGCCCAACTCCACAAATCCGTGCCCTGATCCCACCTATAGATTACAATAATACTCCCCTTCATGAGGTACCGCTCCTTCTAGTGCAAATCACAAAGTTTGCCTGTGGTGGTGTTTCTTTAGGCTCGGCCGTGTCACACGTCATTGTGGACGGTCAAAGCGGGTGTCATTTTGTTGCCGAATGGGCAAAGATTGCACGCGGTGAAAAATCTGATGATCAACCATACCTAGATCGTACAATTCTTCAACAATATGAAGAGTGCCCATCGTCAATAGCTCCAAAATTACAATACCCAGACTTTTACCCACTGCCCGTCCTGATAGGCCAGTCTAGCAGCTTAGAAGAGCGTAAAAAGGCTACTACCTGTGCCATGTTTCAGTTAAGTAAAGAACAAATTGAGCAGCTCAAGAACAACGTCAACAACCACCACGATTTGGTTCACAAAACTAGCAATCATCCGCCATTTAGCCGGTTTGTAGCTGTATCTGCGCATATATGGAAGTGCTTATCCAAGGCCCGTATGCACAGCCCCGACCAAGAAACGGTTCTATATGTGACTGTGGATTTTCGCAATCGGCTTAAACCACCCTTGTCCGGAAGGTATTTTGGAAATGCTGTCTTACCTGTACCAGCAAGAGCCATTGCAGGTGATCTCCAATCGAGGCCACCAAGCTATGCTTCAAGCAAAATTAAGGAAGCAATAGACAAGGTTACAGATGAGTATGTAAGGTCATATCTTGTTTGTATGAAGGACATGCCCGAGGTATCTTGCAGTCGACATTTTCACACTGTTGGTTGTGCACAGGGGTTGTTCTTTGGAAATCCCAATTTGCTTATTACGAGTTGGGTTGGGCTGGACGTGTACAAAGTCAATTTTGGGTGGGGAGAAGCAATTTCCATGACCCCTGGGTCATTAGGTTATGATGGAAGACTCTTCCTTATTCCTGGTCCTAATGGGGATGGATCGTTGATTATCCCACTGCGCCTGCAAGTAGAACATATTAATGCTTTTAAGAAGTATTTCTACGAAGATATATAATGCTGCAGACTTACAAGGTTGGTTCTAATGTAGTTTGTGTAGTTCATGGGGCTCACTGAAAAGCTTAGTCATATGTGAGTAAACATTATGCACAGCCACTAACATTTGAATTTATTTGTCGGACAGGGAACCAACGAATTGGCAGCTGCTGGAGAACAGTTTGAAGAGCAATTATTGCAGGCAAACGGGACGTGGATCTTTTCAGATATGGAAGATGGAGTAGACGGAATAAAATATTTGTCTCTTAAGGTAGTAGCAAACGAGGAGACTTTTACTCCCTGTGATAGCTAGTATGACCTTTTCAATATGTTACACGTGACGGTTTTCTGTGTTGATGGTATCATGGTATACCACTACTTACGTAGGATGGAAAAATGCATTTTCTTATGTAAGATGGGTCCACTACTTATCATCATGATCCCACTACTTATGTACTAATACAATCCTTGAGCATTTTAAAACCTGGAAGAATTGTCAAACCAAATCATGTATGCTAACACTAGGCAGGGCTGGCCATATTTCAACCTTTATATGGCATGGTAATTATTTGGAAATTGAAGTATGTATAAACTTTCAAGTTGGCTGAAGCAATCAGCCTGACAATTTAGAAGCTATATGCACAGAGATAATTAACTTCTACAATGCATATAAAAGTGCCAAGTGATATATTAGCTGCTTAATTAACAAAAATTTCAACACCAAGTGACATTGCGACTAAATGACAGAAACAAATTAAAAGATAATTCATCTTTTTGATTTTAAGAATTCTCATATTTATATCTATCATTTAGTAATGTCGTGATTTACAGTGTCGTTTTTTGTAGGTGAACTTTTAATTAATAACATCTCCTAGAAATATATTGTAGCTAGGTATCTCTCCAATGCTATTTATTTGTCTAACTTTAAATTTTCTAATGCACTGCAAATGAAATATATGTAGTTTTAGAAATATGACGGACAATATTCCAGTTTTCCTTATTGGTATTCTACCCTTCCTGTAGTAAAGTATTATTAAATTATTAAACGTGCATGAAGCAAATGAAATGCCAATAACTATGGATTCGAATTTTGTGAATAGAGAAAATAGTGTTGAGATAATCATCCTCAAAAAGAATATGACAATATTCGAATTTTGATTAGTTGGAACTCAATGCGGTCGCTAGATATTGGGACGTATACAAAAAAAAAAAAAAAAAAAAAAGTAGATGTTTTCAGTCCTGAATCTTTGCTTATGGCTCTTTCAACATGTATATATATAGATTTACATTAAAAAAATATTTATGCAGTTTTAAAAATATGTCGGACGTTATTGATATTCCACTTTTTCTTATTCTACTTCCCACACCCCGCTCCCCTTATTGGCATTCTACCCTACTAGCTCATTTTCTCTGGTGAAAG